TAATAATTTTTATTGAGTATGAAATAAAATTTTGTGAAATTTTGCAGCCTTTTTATAAAACATAAGAAAAAATAACTTTTCCCTTAACCATTCCTATTTTTACTTGAATAGAAGAATAAACACAAAATTTCTATTGTTATACTGTCACAGAAATTGAACTACAGAGACAGGTCACACAAGAAAACTAAGATTTTCAGCAGAGTATCCAATTATTCCTCCTCTTATAAAAATGAATATTGTGCTAACATTAAAAAATTCTTCACTTGGGTTTATACACACATACACATATATTCACACACACGTACATGAGGGTACTTCAAAAAGTTCATGGAACAACAGAAATGAAAGTTAATATAAACCTTTCCATGAATTTTCTTTTTTTTTTCTTTTGGCGGCTAGCCAGCATGGGGATATGAGTACATGAATTTTTTGAAGATCTCTTGTGTATATGCACACGCGCGCACACACACACACACATACTTAGAATATAACAACAAAATTTTTCATTCCAAATTAAAAAATAATTTAGAGTAAATGTTTTCTGAAAAAAATAGATATAAATCCACCTAGGACACCTATGCAAATGTGGCTTAATTATGAAACTACTGTCAATTTGCCAATATAGTAATCTGTGCCTAAATGCAAATATTTAGCTTGTCATCACACACACAAAAAATGAAATACAATATCTGAAACTAACTGAAGTTCACTGTGCACTTTGTAACACAAGGAGTAAAGAAAATGCTATATTTAGTCAAAGCTGAAAAGGTGAATTTATATTACTTGCTCTTTATCGGGTTATTTTCATAACTGACACTAAAAGAGAAAAATAGTGGCTCACTTTCAGGTAGGAAACAGTTACCATTTTCCTAAAGTATCCACGTTTTTCAATTTGAGACTTAGAAAGGTCTTGTGAAGGTTAACATATAACAGCTGAAGGTGCTTATTGGAAGGAAGATGAAAGAGTAACTTGAAAAAACAGCATAAGATTTTTAGACAGGTTTTATATCTTAAAAAAAATGATGACAAAATATGATGGATTCTTAATAACCCACTTCAGTGTCTGAAGCCCTCAGTGAAAGAATGTAACTCATTACAACTACCCTAAACTATTCTTGCTTCAGAATAACCCATTTCTTATCATGTTTCCGGTGAAACAGCAGTGAAGCATCTTGTTTTCAAGGCCCATATATAATGAGTCATTCCCTCACTCTTGTTTCAAAAAACCAACAATGTTTTGCCTTCTTGAGGATTAACTATGATGTGTTTCAAATGAACAGGTAAATTTGCTAGTGGATGGTGCAATGCAAAAAGAGTTCCACCTCTTCGTGTATTTTTAAGTTGACACCAAAATTGTTTTATCATAAATTTAAGTAGTTGCATACATATTAGTGGCATATTGTAAATTTTGACATTCTAAAATAAAACTGTTACACAACTGTTTTAAATATATCCAATGGTACACAAATAATGATTGTGATACCCATATTATTGAGTTTTTTAAAGTAACACTTAGAAATTGGATATTGTTCTTTTTTTACTCTTGCACAACTGAGATACAGTTCCGCAGGAGGAGCAAGATAAGGGGGAGATGTGTCTTTCTTTTGTGAAGTGGGAGAAATCATTAAACAGGAGTATGAAAAGACAACTGGCATGGTACCTAGACAGAGGCACGTTCTCAATTTCAGAAAACATACATAAGGAAACTAAAGATCTAGAAAACAATTCCTTTCCCACCATCCATGGATATACCCCAGTTTGAAGACCAATATTATAGATTACCTATACCATTACTTCTTTTTTTTTTTTTTTTTTAAAGATGACCAGTAAGGGGATCTTAACCCTTGACTTGG